TAGGTAATTTTGTATTTTGGCATAGTAGGGGACATTCGGTTCGTAGGTTTTTTTCTTTTATTTGTTTTTTTATAGCTCCTTGGAGCATTAGTGAGCTAAAGGTCCCCCTAAAGACCTTGTATTTTTGGATTTATATTAACGTGTAAGCCCCTTAATGAGTTTCTCCTTAAAAAAAAGCCTTTGAATTTGAAAGAGTTAAAAAATAGAATCAAATTCAGCATAAAATCATGTTGGAGGATTTACAAGATGCTATAAAAAATAAATAAATAAATATTTGGATAACAAGGAAATGACTATTATCAATGTCTTGATAAATAAAAGTAGCAAGAAGTAGGTGCAATATGATATATAGAACATCATTGTGACCCTCTTAGACTACTAATTAATTAACTCTTAATTAATACAAATAGGACATAATCTTTATTAATAGACTAAGTAAACATGATTCATATTGACATACAACAACAACAACAACATCAAGTCTTTATCCCACTACGTGGGGTCGGCTACATGAATCATTTTTCTCATATCGACATCTACATTTATAAAAAAAATGTCATTTACTCATTCATATGCTTTTGTCACACCATATAACAAACAAATTCCTCCTCAAAGTAATTGATTTGGTCTACCAATATGTCAATTAAGCTTTTAAAATGAAGGTTTGAAATAGCACAATAATCTTATTTTGTTTAAGATTTTTTATGACAAAATAGACATTTTGTTGGAAGTTTGGGTAAAAACTTTGAAAAAAAACCCTTTATTTCTAATTAATAAAAATATAATTGTCATTTTAATTTATTTTTTAAGAGATTGTCCCTTATGCTCATTAAAAATTATTTTATTTATGTGATCAATCACAATAAAGGCTAAAGGCAATGGTTAGATAAGTTTAGGTACTTGAAGCATAAGAATATTTCACTATCACAATAAAGATAAATTTTGCAAGTGATGCCTCCCTTTTTTAAGGAAGTTGATGAGCTTGCTTTAACTTATGGAGTGGTTAGCCATGAGGCACATGTTGTAATTGCACAAAGGAAGAAGAAAGAAAAAAAATGAGAAATTTGACCCTATAAAGAAGGAGATATTATAATATGTGGAGTTCGGAGGTAGAGTGTACAAAAATAAAAATACATTGTATATACACACTGTGTACACTCACAGTCAGAACACAACTCTGTACCCGGACTCTGCATAGAATAATTTCTCCTAAAGAAGACCACTACTTCATAATAATACAAAAAATAGACTAAATGTCATTGTTTTAGTTAAAAATAGTGTTGAGGTAGATAGTTTAAACTTGTAGCCTTTAAAAAGACTATATCACGTATGATAGATGAAAAAGAATATAAGAAAACAACTTAACAACAGCTTCATACTTCAATCTAATTTTAATTTAAACTTGCACTACTTGAACTTGATCATCTTTTCTTCCATTTGATACATCAAGAAATGAAAGCAAATGACCTTGTTTATTTCATGTGTAACTAGATTCTATGTCAAATTGAAGAGGTGGTATCAACCAAATAAAGATCTTCATAGGTATTTCAATTAGAAAATGAGTTGGCTTATAAAATTGTGTTAACTAAAATGCTTTTGGCATGCACTTGAATTGAAGATACAATAACATATTACATTTAACTTGAAAGAGCAATATTATTTGATTGTTTCTTTGACGACTATTACCGAACAATAGTTTCATACTTGATGCAATAACCATGCATTCCTCTATGATCCTCTAAGTCTTTATCCTATTCATTTTTAGAATAGTTTACAAGAGTATAATTGTTGTTTGAAAAGTAAAATAAATCGTGATAAAAAGTACCCACTTTTTGTCCCATAATTTCATGACAACTTACATATAGGATTGGTGAGAAAATCTCATATTTTTGTTGATTAATCGATCTTCATAAAATGTTTTAGGCCTTACGCATTTAAAATATATTATATTTTCAAATTAGTTTTATTAAAGGTGGTGGCTCCATTGTTTTCCATTGATAACTTGATTCTAACATCTATGGAAATTCTTACATGGTTGTAGTCATTGCATATGAAATCTCTTCAAGTTTTTTAGGGACATGTCTATCTTATCAAATGAAAATCTCATCTCCTGTTTGAACAACTTTTATATCATGAAAATGTATCATTAAGCCATCATGTATTAGTTCTAATTATTCATTATATTATAAACCCCTTGAAATCTAATTTCATGGAAAGAAAGAATAAATGCACTTGTTCATTTCTGTCCTGATGCTTGTTTGAGGCTATACAATATTTATATATATTTTCTTCAGTCCATTTCTTGATGGTTGCTTGGTAATGACTTTCTCTTCATGCAGCTCATTGAGAAAAGCTAATTTCACATTCATTTGAGAAAAAAAAAAACACTTAATAGTCATAGTTAAATAGTTCCTCAAATCTCTTTGGCAACAATCTTACTTTAAGGTCTCCCCACCTCCTTATTTGATCTCAATTTTATTTTGAATACTCGCTTCACACCATTAGGGTTTAGGCGAACTTATGAAATATTACTAAACTCTAAAGTATATTTGTTCTTTTTAATTGCTTTTATTTCTTCATTCATTCATAGCATCCATTCATTTGAAATTTTGAATTGACTCCTCAAAATTTTTAGCTCAAAATTTGCAAACATGATAAAATGCTCCAAATTCCCATAATCTTTTCAATATCATTATCAAATGTTATGTCAAAATATCTCAAGGTAATTATCTCCTTGAACTTTTTAGCTTCTATAAGGCCTCCTCGGGTTGAAATCAGATAGACTTCTTCATTTATGTTAGGTACAAAGGATTCCTAGACTGCAATCCTTGCTAAGTGAAACTTATAGGTTCAGAAGTGATCAATCAAACGGGGGCGTCAAATTAGTTGTAAAGTAGCAAATATGAATAATGATATATACCAATAAAGTGGCATGAAAGTTAGTATCTTACCTCAAAGAATCTATATGATAATGGATCGACTAGATTATGAATGAAAGGGATGTGTGAGAGCGCAAAAAATTAATTCTCGTTATCTCGAGACAGATTGCCCAAAAGAGAATTGAGTAAACTGACTTTTGCATCTTTGAAGATGATGCAGAAATGAACAAACTCTACATCTAGCAAAAAGATGGGATTAAAGAATTCGACAAAAACAATATGACTTTGAGTCCCTCAACAACTAGATGTAAAATGTATAAACTTGACCCAACATATACTAAAAAATATATGTCTTGACATGGTCGAAAAATAGGACTTACAACATGAAAAAATTTAAGAATCTACTATGAGGGTAAAGTAGATAGTAAGTCTTATATCCTTTCTTTGGATGAGGAATGCTTCTAACTCCATCTACATAAATTTTAATAATAATTTTCTAGACTACAAATATTGAAAGTTTCTCTCAATTTATGCAACTTTACATGGATTAAACTATAATATAAATTATCAGTCAAATAGCCTCTCTTTAATTACTTAGCGTCTGTTTACTTTTAATATCTACTATTTCGAGGTAGCTTCAAAGTTTATGACAATAACATCCCATATGATATTCTATATCTTATCATAAATAAGATAAATTTATGGGCTGTTTTTGAAAAAAATAAAAGAATTGTCGTTTGAGAATTAATTATCTAAATGATCATATCTTTATAAAAGTTAGTAGATTTGAAGTTACACAACTAAAATTAAATAAGAAAGCGAGGAAGAATTTTTTTAATTTTATTTATAATTTTAAGAAATAAAAATGAAGTTGAAAATTATTTATTTTAAATTAAATTTCAAATTTATTTTAGTCAAGCCAATTATTTTTAAAAAATATTTGTATATGCCTAATTGATTAAGTTACCTCAAAATATAAGATCAAATTATTAATTTTAATTTTAAAAATAATAATTAGGTGATTTTTTATTAATTTACTGTTCTTATATATATATATATAT